TTGCTGTGAACAAATATTACATTTTAAAGGTTTTTTTAAAGGTAAATTTTAAAGTTTACAGTCCTCTTCTCAATGTCTTTTACTAATTGCATGCTTCTCTTAAGAATGCTTAGAAATTCCAATTAGTAATTCTGATGTTCAGCCTGTTGCTGTCAACCTCCACAGAGCCCTGTTTCCTAATTTAACTGTGGAGAATCCAGTGACTGGAACAAAAAAAAATGAAAAACAAACCTTACCAAACACGTGAGGGAAATGGCATGTTCTGGTTACAGAGGATAAAACGTTTCTCAAAATATAAACTTTAGTTTCAGATAATACTTGTGTGGTTTTTACAGTTCTTAGCTTTGCGGCATTCTGTACCGTGTCCATAGAGTAGTTTGGATTTGAGCTTTTAATGGGAAAATTGGATTTTCTGAATTTTGTTTAGGTGAGTATTTGGCATATTTGAAAATGCCCTAAACCTCGGCCTCAATTGTATATGTTCGTGCAAACCTGTTATTTACATACCTGATTATTTTGTCGAGCTGTACAATATTTTGAATAAATTTGAAATGAACAGTTATCCCACAGAAATAACTGCTCTGAAATAGAATGTTGTTTTCATTTTATATTTTCACTGCTTACTTTGTGCTGGTTAAGGTTTGTTGGGGTTGGTGCTTGTAATTCTTGTTGTAACACCCAGAATTCTAACATGCAGAGTTAACAAGTAAGTAGCATTTGTTGGCAAAACTGCCTGGATGTTGAGAGCAATGTTTCTATTGGATTAAAAGAGATGTATTCACAAGCCTGCTTGTTTACAATGTAATTGGGCCGCTTCATGTCACCAGAAGAAGAATATGGCACTGTGCCTACCTGGAAATTTCATCTGTTTGTGATGGAAATTGAAGGTTTTATTCATTAATGTGTACATTTTATTTTCATTGTGGTTTGAAATGCACTCATCAATGCTGATTCTCTCTAGTCCTGAAATATAAAAATTCGCTGGTCCTGTGAGAGGAATTTGTTACAGATCAAAACCAGAATCCTCAACAAAATGTGGAGCTGATTGTCACCAGTTTCAGCTCCAAATTACAGGTTTTAAACCCCTATAACAATCGATTGTCTCAAGACTGCCAGGACCTGAAAGAAACAAATAGTAAAGAAAAAACAGTTATATTCCCAGGGCTACATTCAGTGTAATGCAAATCCTAGCCATTCACACACAATACAGAAAAGGTTTTTAATGGAAGGCCATTTGTTTTACATTTATAATAGCATTAATTCAGTTCACAGCTGGCCTAAGCCCTGCTGGCTGGGTAATGCACATCTTCTTAAGTGCTTTATTCTCCAGACACCCCCTCCCCACCCCTCCAATAGTAGAATCTTCTGCCTCACATCTTTGTGTTTGTGTTGTGCCAGGTTTTACATGGTATCAGGATTATGTTGTCTGTTGTACTGGACAATTGGCTGGAAGCGTTAAGGCTTACAAATGCCGAACGTTGACCCCAACTCTCTCTCTCGCCTGGCTGTGAAATGTCAGAGAGTTTCCCATGGTTTCTTTTCCCTTGTAACCGAGTCGGACTTTAACAGCCTTTGGGTGCCCAAAGAGACTGCTACCTTAACCCGGAGCGGGAGGTCAGATTGTTCTTATTTGGAGCTGCCTCTTTCATGACAGGCTGTCGCAAGCAGGAGAAAGCCGAGCTGGACCTCGGTCAACGTCTGGATTTCTTGATTTATCCAGCTGTGCATGTCCTGAGGTTATTATATTATTCCAGATCGCTGTAATTCAGTCAGCCAAATTTGGAATTTGTGTCAAATTCCTTTCCGCAAAGCAGATCGGGAGGCTTTAGAGTACAAAACTGTATTTTTCTTTGTATGCTGCTTCAAAACCTAGTTTATTGTCATAACGAACAAAAAATCAGCACATGCTAAAAGCTGTTTTGGTTTGGAGACTTCAACTTCAAGACTTCAAGTTTTTAAACGAAATAAGTTTCTTTGCCTTATAAGTTGCTCTGCTGGGGCTGATTTGCAATTTGAAACCTAAAGCTGCATCTACGCTGCTTGTGTGTTACTCATGTGGTGTTCCTCACACATCTGGCTGCTTCTCCAGAGTGTATTCAGTTTTCTGCTGCCTACTGCGTAGATAAGAGATCCTCAGCTTCATCAGCATTTCTTTCTTTGTCATCAGCAGTTTAGTGCTGAGGAATACAATGGAATACAGTACAGTGCCAAGGGAACTGTATAACCAAACTACATATTTAATAACTACACAAAATATTTTACTGTTTCATATTTTGTGTTCTTAGATGGGAGGGTCAGCACCCCTGTAAGCATTCTATAATTTTGTGGGAAGATGGGGTGGGCTAATAGGTCATTGGGTCACTATTGGAACGGTATGACAAAAAAGTAAAATAAGTTCACTGTAAGGTTCATAAAACATTGGAAAGGGATGTGGAGCCTCTTGTCTACTCAGCTGCTGATATGCTGCAAATGCTGCCAGTGTATATTGTAGTGTTGGCTGCAATGGGACAGGCAGACATCAGATATGCATAAAGCACATCACAAACATGGCTAATGTAGGTTAGCCATAAGGTGTGGCGGTAAATCTCCAACACTTAAGTTTTATGACAACGCCTAAGTTTTAAAACATACACACCAAATTACAGTAGGACTGTAATTCCAGTAATTATAGTGTCTTTGCCTTAAACAGAAAAATTACAAACCTATGGTAAAATTTAAACTGTGCACCCTCTTTTCAATGTCATCCATTTCCTTGCATGGCAAATTTTATTCTTGGTTTGAACATGCAGATATAATTGGTTGTATGGTCTGTGTTATTGCCAGTAGTACTTGTTAGTGTTTATGTATTCCAGGTATTATCCTTACTGCTCCTCATCAAAGGACATTATGAGATCTCTATGGATAAGGGATTATAACCCCTTTTTGTGACTTTTAAAAGGTTTAAAAGACACTTAAGAGTTGCATTGTAATCTACCACACATGCTTTTTCATGTTGATTCTTCTTTGAGTGGCAGCTATTGCAATTTTCCAGATGAAACAGAGAAATCTGTGAAGGCATATCCACAAGCCTTCAATAGAAGATCTTATGAACAGCCTTGCTATTAACATTCTAGTAATGAACATCTGCTCAGGTGCAGATCAGTAAAAGCTGCACTAAACTTCAGCAATATTTCATCTCTATTCCCCAAAGCAATAAACTGAGGGATTTTAGCTTAGGGGCACCTGTCCACACTTAATTGCCACTACTCTTCTCAAAATAAAAATTCAAATGCTTTGAAGTTATTTCTTGGATTGAATTCAAGGTTTGGTATGGGTACTTAAAGCTATCAAACAAAGAGGCTTCTGCAGTTTGAAAGATGGTACATAACCTTAATAAATATTTGCAAGACAAGTTTTCTAGCATATAACAGTCTTTATTGTTTGATTAACTGTTTTAGAGAAAATGATGTGACTGTCCATTATAGGCACATCAGTTGCCGTTTGGTAATAATGTTCCTCTGTAAAAAGTGCTTTTTTAACAATTCATTTTAATATACTATATTCATCCCCAAGCAGCAATTTAATCAGTAATCAGTTAAACCTGCAACATATTACAAATAAAACTGGCAAAAAAACATGGTATGACAACACTTTTAAGTAGAAAATAGAATAAAAATAGCAAAAGGTCCAAAAATGATTAGAATAACAGAGTGCATGTGCATTGTAAGACTGTCTTGTACTACACAATAAAATAATAAGTCCATTAGATATGTATTAAATTACATGTACATTTGCAGAGGGGGCTCTATCCAATAGCGATCATGTTGATAAAACTGTCTTGCATTCATTGTTTGTGAGCCTGATGGCCACTGGAACAAAGCTATTTTTTTTCCTATTTGTCTTGCACTGTGGTCTTTGAAAAAGTGTTCCTTAAGGTAAAAGATCTAAAGACTGAGGAAGAGATGAGTCTTCATTGATGGCACAGGACTTCCTCAGGGTCTACTGGGAACAGAGCTGTGGCAGTGGGCTTAAAGGCACACCAATGACTAGAGAGCTGAGGGTCACAACATTCTGAAGGCGGTCGAGGTCTTTTTGTCATTTGAGCGATGTGAACCAATAGATAAAAGAAAAAAAGGTTAAAATATTTTCAATAAAAGATCTATAAAATGTTGGTAGAATTATTTTTTGGTCTCCAAAGGAATATTTTCTGAAACTGTGTAAGCGTTGTTGGGATTTCTTCACAGTGCTATCAGTGGTAGAGGCAGTAGCCACATGAAGCAAAATTAAGCCAGTAGAAATGATCCAAAAACCATTTATAACCAATAACCAAAAATGAGTCTCTGAAACATGACTAAGTCAGGTGATTAGATATTTTTATTTATTGTGAGGGTTTTTCTGCACCTCAAGCTGGGATTTCAGTGCTCTTGTCTTCATTTTTCTTTTTTCTATCTGTGTTGGTGCTTTTTTAAACATTAGTCCATTTGCAAGGTTAATATTTCAGACGAGGATATTCTGTACTTTTGTTTAGTAACCCTACAGTCTAGTAATCTAGTAATCAACTGAATATTTAGTTCATAATTGTCAATACTCAGTTCACATCTTCATAGAAATGTGAATTACATTTCAGTGACACCTCCAATTCATAAATAAACTTTTTAATTTAGTGCTCTATAAACCTGGGGTAGTCAAATGTGATTAATACAGTGAATTATCAAAATAATTTCCATTTTAAAGCTCTGTTAAGCATATCAGTCATAATTGTTGGAGGTGTTAATAAAGAAATGTGCCAATAAACCTCATCAAGCATTTCTGTGTATTTTAATAACTGAAAATAGACTGTGTTCAAATCATGCAAGACGGTTCTTAAATTTTGTATTAAAATATGGATTCTAATGGATTACCTGCCAGGCCATTATGTGTGAAATCTAATGCAGCAGCTGTTTCATGATAAAGCTGCATGTGGCTTCGAAAAAAAAAGATAAAACTCATTTAACTGTGAAACCTTCTCCTTATCTTTTTAGATGGAAATCCTGAAAATGGGGAATTAGATCTGAATGGTATTGATGATGATGAAATTGATCGGGTGAGTCCACACCTCCAATGTCTGTGCATTACTTTAAATTGTATCTTTTCCGTAACGGTCTTTGCTGGGACCATTCATCTTTCCTTCATGATGGACCTTTCCAAATTGGATGCTTTTGGTAAACTGGAATTTTACAATAGCATGTTTGTCAGCTAATATTTTAGAGATATTTTTTGGACTTTGAGAAAACTGTAGATGGGAGCTTAAGGTGAACCTGTTTCCTAGTTAATGAGAACAGTTCAAAGATCATCTGTTTTTATTGTGTAATCAGTAGTGTTTTGTCCTCCTAGTATATCCTAAATGAAACAGAAGTAAAAATTAAGACGGAGCTTTGGACAAGGGAGAATTCTGACTACTTAAAAGAACAGAAAGGTGAGCTGTTGTAATCTAATCACTTATCATTCATTCTGGCCAGTGCTTTTTCATTAAAGAGAAAAAAATTGCTTCACAGAATCTAGTTAAAATCCGTTATCAGGGTTCTATACAGACTTTGGATGGATTTATTAGTTTTTTTACTCCAGAAATCCAAAAGAATAGTTTTTACAGATTTTCATTTCAGCAGTCAGATGTCAGTAGGCTCTCGCTCTCTGATGCCTGATGCAATGTTTGGACCATTTACTCTTGTGATAAATGATGCTAATTACAATTTAATTATGTCTCTTTATATTTTCTTTTTAGAAAAGGAAGAAAGGATAGCAAAAGAGAAAGAGCTTGGGATCTATAAGGAACAAAAGGTAGTGATTCAAAGAATTGACCTCCTTTTTAAAAACCAATTTCACTCGTTAAATCCGAGATGTGGAGCTTTATATGAGAGTTAACGATGACAGATGATCACAGTTCCTACTTTTTCTACTGAGCTGAAAAAATTGTTAACCCCCTAGGTTGTTCCTCAAATGTATTTAGACCTTTATACCTCAAATGTAATTAGATCTTCATTAATGTCTTGGTTAAAGATTCATGTAACCCAATTAAACATATAATACAATGATATAATATGTATTTGGGTTATTTAATTAGTCGAATGACCGCACAGTACATACACTTGTGTGAATAAATATGTGCAGGTTCAGTAACTAGTGGCACCTCCTTGAGCAGAAATGACTTCCACTAGACATTTCCCAGGACTGTTTATCAGTGCCACGCATTGGCTTTTATGAATTTCGGTCCATTCTTCCTTGCAGAACTGCTTAAACTTTGTGACATTTGGGGATTTCCCTGCGTGAACAGCTTGCACGAGTGTGGCTGAGTCTGGACTTTGACCATCTGAAATGCACAATTCCTTTTTCATCAGCCATTCTGTTGTCTTACCCACGCGCCGTGACTGCCCGTCTTCTACACTTGAATGTTTGTGTTCATTGTCTTGCTGCATGATCCACTGCAAATGTAGCTAAAAGAAGCTCAGTGTTAGCCAGATGTTGGAGCATCTGTGGGAACAGATTCCTGAATGAACATGCACGGTGTCGTTTTATCTTCTGATAGCCCAAGAGATCCTTGAAGAAACGGGAGCCCATCCGAGCCAGCACGGCTGGGGAGGCCATCGAGAAGATGCTGGAGCAGAAGAAGATCTCCAGCAAGATCAACTATGACGTCCTGAGAGACCTCAACAGCAAAGGAAGCGGCTCCAGCCCATCGAAGCGGCAGGAAGACAGTGGAGACAACGGTACCGGAGCCAAGAAAACCAGCAGCCACAGGAAAACCACAAGCACCAGCCGTGCCCTGGCCACCCCAGTGAGCAGCGTGGGGAAAAGGTACAGTCGCGGCACACGGCATGTGAGGAAGAGGAAGAGGCGCGGTCGCGGCGTGCGGGGAAGAGGGAAGAGGCGCGGTGCGGGGAAGAGGGAAGAGGCGCGGTGAGGGGAGGAGGCACGGTGAGGGGAAGAGGGAGGAGGCGCGGTGAGGGGAAGAGGGA